GATCAGAGACTTAACCCAATCAGTAAATTAAAATGCCCTGACAGGCTATATAGGGTGTATACTCTTTGGAGTATATATTTTGCATCTGATAAGTGGAATCTCTCTGCTTTCTGATCATCATGTGAGCTGCTTCCCTCCGCCACACTCTCTTGCCATGATGCTGTGCCTCAAGTCAAGCCCTGAGAAATGAAGCTGGCTATCTATGAATTGAGATCTCTGAGATAGTAAGCCCCTAAATAAACTTCTCCTCTTCTACAATTGTTCTGGTCAAGTCTTTTAGTCACAGCAGCAAAGACAAAAAAAAAAAAAATTAAAAACTGACTCAAACAATATCCTACTGCAGTTTTCATTAGCTGTATGAAATGACTTTTCATTTGGATATTTTATTTTTTATATTTGGCCTTAATGTTACTTTTTCTAGATTTAGTACATAAATTTTCTATCAGTCATATATATATATATCTTCAGGTTAAACATGATTCAGAATCATTTTTACCTAAATCGCTTCCTTAAATTTCTCCACTTCTCTGCCATTTATTTCTAGAATGGAGTTGCACAGAACTGACTATTGAGCTTTGAAGCTGTAAAACCATCTCCACCCTGTCCATGAGAATCCTACCTTAACAGGCCAAAGTTGCATCAGTCTTAATTTATTGACACCACACATGGCAAAATCATTTGCTCTCTGGTTTCATCTGTGTCTCTTTTGGCAATACAATAGTCTAGGTTTCTACTGCCCATAAAACATTTGAGTTTTGGATTGTTATTTCTCAAATTATTAATATACTTTACGGTTTTTTTTCCTGTTTGAATTCATTTTGATTTGCAATTGCCCAAACTACCAAGCTATGCGCTCACTTCATTTTTTTCCAAATTTGCCTGGAATATTTGTTTCCTAACAAGTATTTACAAAAAAAAAAAAGGCATTAAATTGTTAATGAATAAAGCCTTTTTAATGTCAGAGAGTCTTTCTCTTGAAACCTTGCAGGACAAAAAGCCACTATTTAAATACAGGATAAGGAAAATTAAATATTTGAGTAAAATAAAAATATCAGGGTAAAAGAGATGAAAATGTTACTCCTCTCTCACTTCACTGGTAGTAGAATTGATGTTTAAAAATAATGAAAATGAAGGATCTGTTCAAATCACTTTAATTTGAACCTTCCATATAATGTCAGGGGACCCTTGATCTATCTACAGAGATCTGGAACAGATCAGGACTACAGAATTTTAAATTTAAAAGAAATATTAAATGAAATTTCAAATGAAAATCCCAACTTAAACCTGCTTCATTCACTTATCCATACTTATCTTCTGATATCCACTGAACCTCAAAGCAAGTTCATACCTGCTTCCTCTAATGCTTACAGATTACTACTTTAATTTCCATCTTCATTCCTTTCTCTTTTTTTATGTGTCTCTAAAACCTTTTACCATTTTGATGACTATGCTTGAACAACACTATTTTGTTAACATGTATCTTAAAGTGTTATACTTGAAGTTCGACACTTGACTCTTGATGATCGTTAATTGATACTATGAGTGATAACAGTTAGTTGGCTGCTTGAGGCCACTAGTTGCATGATGAATGATGTTCCCTAGAGTTATGCAACAGAATGGCCTGGATTAGCACTCAGCAATTATCCCTACCTCCTTCAAGTTTGCCATTCAGTGCTTTATTGAGTGAAAAGCTTCAAACTTCATTTCTCAAACATTTTTGCTAGCTAGGATTTTAGTTGGAAAATAAGTCTGCCAATTAGGAGCAATCATAAGATATTTGGAACGCATAAATGAGGTGGAGGCCACCTTCTTTCTGTTTTTGGCTGTTTTCTGTTGCCAAGAATGTT